TGTAAGTATACCGAAAGAGTATACTTCCCCTACAAAAATTCTTGTAACACAAATGCAACTAGTCCAGTCATTAAGGCCTCTGCGTTACATGCTAATGCCTAGACCCTCATCACATTGGCTTCATGAGCTTTTGGGCACATTACTTTCCTGTACAGGCCTTGAATATCTAGTCATACTAATTCGTGTGTTTCTGTTATACCTATTATTATCTACAACCCTAAACCTAAACTCTATTATTATTATATAACATACCCCAACGCCCCACTCTAATGGCCCCTACGCTATGCATGGTTTTGCTTTGGGGAGCGGTGGCCTGGATACGCTCGCTTGACTTGACCTGACACAGGACGCCTCATAGGGTTTAGGGTTTAGGGTTTGGGGTTTGGGGTTTGGGGTTTAGGGTTTAGGGTTTCGGGTTTAGGGTTTAGGGTTGAGGGTTTAGGGTATGGCCGAACAGAAAGCTGCACACAGATGTGAAGACTGCATTCCTGTTGGCTCCTATTCCGTAGGAGTCCCGTCCACTGAAGATACTCGTGCTCATGGGCAGCGTTGAAGAGGGCGAATTGCGGCTTGTCGATAGAGCTATGTATGGCTTAAGACAATCCCCGAAGTGGTGGGGAGATTTTAGAGTCTCTACCTGAGTAAGGCGGAGTGGGACGGTGCCACGGGAAAGACGAGACTGCAGCAATCAACTGTGGAGTTCAATTTGTGGAAGTTGGTCCATGACACCAAGTTGATGAAATGGCATCCCAAGCATCCTAGGCAGATGACCTGCTTACTTACATCATCCAGTTCATCCTTTTGAAGGAGTTTGGCGATGAGACCGTTGGTTTTGTAATCGTGTATGTGGATGATGTCATGTTGAAGTTCAAAGCTAGGGTTTAGGGTTTAGGGTCCCTTCAAGAGCAGCCATTGCCAATGCCTAGCTATTTCATCGTTGTTGAGGGCATGCCTCACAGTCACTGCAACACCGGGTGTTTGCACACTGACATTGGCGTCACTGATGCCTCTCCCATGCAAACCCCTCAAGACTTCAAAAATCAAGCCGTAGCTCGAATCCCTAAAAAACCCTAAACCCTAAACCCTAAACCCTAAACCCTAAACCCTAAACCCTAAACCCTAAACCCTAAACCCTAAACCCTAAACACTGAGCCATCCTCCCTAAAAATCCTACACCCTAAGCCCTATGTAAACTCGAAAGGACTAACCCCTACTTCCTAAAGCCCTACACTACACCCCAAACCCTAAACTCTAAAAGGCTAACCCCTACTTCCTAAAATCCTACACCCTAAAACCTAAGCCTTTAAAAACTAAACCTTACTTCCTAAGGTTAAAGCCCAAACCCCTCGCCTAAAGAGTCGTTGAGTAGCCTTTAGCTGAGAAGCGTTCCTTCGATTCGAAACCTTTGGGGTTTAGGGTTTAGGGAAAGGAGCCGTAGGTTTTTGGAGCCCAACTGCAGTTCCAAACCAGGTATTACATTTCCAAACCTAAACCCAAAAGGCCCTAAACAGTAAAACCGTAAACCTCTAAAGCCTTAAAGCCTTAAACCCTAAACCTTGAACCCTACGCACTAAAACCCTGGACCCTAAACCCTAAGAAGGGTCCAAGTAGAACACGACGTGCCCATGGCAGGCACCTGCTTTGGGCTTCGGTGTGGGCTACAGCCGCCTCCTGAGCGAGAGGTTTAGGACTTAGGGGTTTAGGGTTCAGGGTTTAGGATTTAGGGGTTTAGGGCTTAGGCTGCAGGGTTTAGGGGTTCAGGGTTTGAAAAATTACCACATGGATAACTGGCTTGTGGCAGCCAAGGGT